ATAGTAGAATTATACTCACTGATAGATTTAAAATCTTGTAACCTTAGATGAGTCCAATCATAACGTCTCTGTGGAAGAACGACAATCTTCAGGTGGTCATATCTATCTTTCAAATTACTCCACAGTATGACTGGATCTTTAACAGTAAGATATTCCATTTTCAGGCCCTCATCAAGTGATGGCGTAGGAATATTATTGCTTTGGCACGGTCTTGGTTTGATGCCTGATTCTTATCTTTGATGGTATCTGCCAGACCCATCGCATCAAGATGAATTTCAGCATCAAGCACCCAAGACATGTAGCTTTTGCCCGATATATCCAGGGCTATAAACTCAAGTTTAGAAAGATTTGACATTATTTAGAAAAAGAAAGTTCGTACCTCTTATACTTTCAAAGTATTTGCTCGAGATGGCAGAGTCTCGTGCTGATAACGTGTTATAAAATAAAGATTGTAAAGTAAAGACAAGTATAGAGAGAAACTGATATATTATTCAAACTTCAAACTTCTGTACATAATGAACTGAATTCTCCTCTATTTATAGAAGAAAGGAAGCTGCTGTGTCAGCTGCTACTGCAAGCTGCTTGTAAGCTGCTGCTCTAAACTGTTGTGCCAGATATAGATAATCTTCTATCATGGGTAATATTTATCCATAGCGGAGTACCGAAAGGATAAGCTTCTTCAGGAGGCTTATTTCCAATAGAGTACTAAATAGATAAACATATTTATGGCGGAGTCTCATATGGATAAACTTTTTCAGGAAGCTTATTTACAACGGAGTACTAAATGAACATCCATAATATAATATATTCATAACAACACTTCATTTGTAAAGGAATTTTACCCAAATGATTCCTTAAGTTTTGGTAAGTATATTTCCGGCTCTACTGTATTTTCTTGAGCATATATGATCTTTGAATTTAATAATATTGAGTACTTTTGATCCAACTTATGGTACTCCCAAATGGATTGTTTAAATTTAAAATTAATAGGAATGTCATATATTTTTCACGTGTCCAAGCTAAATAACAATGACCATAAGTAGTTTGTTTAATTTAATTGTACTTTACTTTCGTTAGAGATAGGTGAGTCGAGTTCCTATATTGGTTAAAATCGCTCATTTTTTTATTTTTTGAGTTTAGACTTTTATTAAATTATTACCGAATATATATTTTCTAGCTAAGAGTATAGTTGATTGATATAAAGTAAGTTTCTGTTACAAAATTAAAAAAAATTAACTTTGTTACTTCATTTTCATTAGTTGAGTGACGATTTTTATTTAAAAAAAGTGACTATATTACATCATTTGCAATAATTGAGTAGTCATATAAGCAATCAACTCGCGAAAAGGATATAGGAATACAAAAACATTCACAAAATCTACTTAGAATCTACTTTAGGCTTAAGCTATAAGCAAACTAGCCACCACAGTCCACAGCAATACAAGGATATTCCCTCATGAGGAGCCTCTCTCAAACGCACTATTCCATGTCGAGTGCAAATGAATTTAAATTATATACACGATCTCTACAAAACAATTTTGAATAGATATAACTTATAATCTATTAGGAGTATAACATATTATTTATCTTATTTTAACGTTATTAATACACACTCACTAATAATGATTATTTCAGAATGATAATTTTGTACACTATCAGTATATAAAAGTTGACGTCCTCTCTAGCCTCTTTATTTATTTTCTCCTAGAGTGTGTAGGTGAAACTAAAATTGTCTCCCTTCAAAAGTTTGGCCAAATTGCCAATTAGCTGGTGCAGCATTGTTGCTTGTGACAGTTCTTCCATCACTTGTAGTCACTTTAAATGAAAGACTTTGGCCATTGAGATATGAATTGCTTTGCCAGTTTTGGCCCCAATTTCTTGACATTGATGTCCATCCATTTTTGGACCCTTTTATGGAAATTGAATGAACATCACCAGCACCTCCAACATTAGTCACCAAAACCAAGTTGTAATAGGAGTGGCCATTTATTGTAAACCTTATTCCTCCCTTCTTCTTGCAAGGCACCCTGTTGGAGACCAAATTCAAATCACATATTATTAATATTAATATTTACATCTTGACCTCTTGTGTGAATTCAATCAGGTTGAAGTTATTGCAAATATGCACCATCTTAGACAGTAAAAATGTTGTCCTATGCCATTCGTCTCATTTTATTCGACACTCTTTTCTTTACTGTCTATGACAAAAAGAACATCACATTTCGGTATTGTAAAACTATTTGTTCTTTTTTTTTTTATTGGCTTATAGATAAGATTTATTGAGACTCACTTGATATGAAAGTTTACCTCTTTAATTAAACGAGAAATATGAAAGGATGAGTGGAACTTTCACCATACCTAGCATTTAATTGTTGGTAGAACATGCAATTTTGATAGTTTGCATATAAATTTTCTTCTCTGTTTATACTTTATGTATAGTCAAACACTATCACACAATGGAGTGCATTATTCGAATGGCCGGTCAATCAATTATACGAAATTACCTAATAAAGTCATATTTTTTTTATTTGTAACAAAAATTACTTAATTATGCATATAACACTCAGAAGATCATCTAACTAGATTCTCAAATTTTCGATGATCAAATACATATTTTACCCTCTAAATTATAAACCTTTATATTTTTTCTCTTTTTTAATTTTTATTATGACGGTATCTTTTTTCCTTTTTAATCTGTGTTATAGACTTGCCTATTGAACAAATAAGTTTTATTTATGAAATAAAAAATAAAAAATAATTTCCAAGAATATATAAATACTATTTATTTGTTTTATAGGTAAGTCCATAATATAGATTAAAAAAGAAAATTATAGAGTAATATTTAAAAAGTAAAAAAAGAAAAAAAAAGAAAAAAAAAGACAAGGTTGATAATTTAAAGGGTAAAATAAGTATCACAAAGTTTGAAAATTTTGGTTGAGTGACCTTCCATATATATATATATATAGTTAAAGTGACTTTTCTATTACAAACTAAAGAAGAATGACTTTATTATGTAATTTCATATAGTTGAGTGATCATTTGAGTAATAAACTCGATAAAATGAGGACAGGGAATACAGTCAGACCTCTCTATAACAAGATTCTTATATAACAACACTTTACTATAAAAGTCAAGTTTTTCCGGAACCAAATTTCATTTTCTGTTATTATATATGTTTTCTATAACAGCAATTCGCTATAACATCCACAAATATCTGAAACAAACGAGACTGTTACATAGAGGTTTGACTCTAATAGGAAAAATTTACCTGCGGAAAGATACTGGGACGATGCCGGCTTTATATTGAGCAATTTTCAAGAAAGCAGGCTGTGCCAAATCGAAATGTTGAAGAGGAGGATTGCACCAGCCACCATTGTTGCTAGGTAAAGATGGATTAGGAGGACAGAAATTTGTAGCAGTGACAGTAATTGTTCCAGAAATGCGCCGTTTGCCGTCATTGTTGCATTTGAGCTGATAACAAGCCCCACATGTCAAACCATTGTTGAATAGAGCTGTGCTTAATGCTGCAGTATTTGTTCCATAACCTTGGCTGTTCAAATTAACATAACCACAAGCACCCCCTGCATTTTTCAAACCATATATAGTTTTAGTTAGTATTATATAAGGTGGGAGTTCTTGGAGGGAAGGATGCCGAGGGTCTATTGGAAACAGCTTCTCTACCCCAGGGTAGGGGTAAGGTCTGCGTACACACTACCCTCTCCAGACCCCACTAGTGAGATTATACTGGGTTGTTGTTGTTATTGTATATATACAAAGACCTTTTTGTACTCTACTTTGTTATTTAGTCACTAGTTAAAATCATGCAAACGACTAAAGGGTCGTTTGGTTGAGGTATAATTAAGTTATGTTGCACGAACTCTTCAAAATGATGTCGCACATATGTTAAAGTAATGGTGCCAAGATTTTTACTAAAGGGATTAAAATTTTTTTAAAAGTTACACACGTAGAGAAATCAAGGAGATTCAACATCTCATGTATATACATAATTTCTTTTTATCTTATATACACCATGTAATTTCTCCGTGAAGGGGTGAAGGGGCACTCACCTAGCTCCGCCACTGCCTGTTGGAATCTCCAAAAATACACTATTTTTGGAGGATCCAACATATACTTAGCAATATTTTTAAAGAGTTCGAGCAACATAGGAATAAAAAAAATACCGTAATCAAAATATATAAGACAATGTTTGCTACTGAGAGATTAGGGAAACTAATTCTCTCATAAGTATTGCAGTTTTGGTTGGCCGTATAAGAAAAAAAACAATCATTGCATATATAATTTTATGCAGAGTTGACGGTTTAAAATAGTACAGACCCTAAGTTATGCGTTTGTATGTGTTGTTTTTACGTGGAATAGAATATTAAATGAGATTATAAGAATACGTATTAGCAATATGGATATCAAAGCATTTAAAGACAAAAATATTCTTAAAGTAGTTATTCACTTACACATAACAGTTCATATCCGCTACATTTAACGAAAAAGGATCATATTTACCGCTGTATTATTTAAAATAAGCTATATTTATCATCTGTTTCAGTTTCTTATTAAAAGTATCTTTATCATTGCACTTTGGGTTCAAATTACTCCTCATGCGTTAAATCCTCTTTCAAAACTTTAAAAAGTTGCGTGGCACGATCTGATTGCCCGTAAAAGACCCATCTCACTTTTTATTTAAACCAACCCGTTCTGTATATTTTAATTCACCCTATACATCAATCTGCGTATTTATTATTCACTGCATAAACAATTCTCTACATTATAATTCCGCCTAACTAGTATGTAAACCAAACTGATCCCTAAGATTATACATTTGTTTCAATCAGCACAATCAAAAATTAAAGCTACTCTAATCAAGAAACATGAATCATCTATGTTGCATGGACTCTTTGAAAATATCGTCGGATGCGTATTGAATTCTCCAACATATTTTTTGAGGATCCGACACATGCAATATTATTTTAGAGAGTCCATGCGACACAGATAGCATGCCCTCTACTTAAAAATTAGACCTTTTAAAAGAACAAAAAGCTAAGAAGTAAATTAAAGAAGATTGAATTATACCCATAGTGCCAGATGCATCACCCCCTCCATAGGCTGTGGCGTGAGCACTTTGCCACCCTCCATTATCAGCAAAACTCTCATTGACGCAAAAGCTTAAGAAGAAGATGAAAAAAAGAGAAAGAATGGAAAATGTTGCATAATTAGCCATTGAAAGAATGGAAAATGTTGCAACAATAGCCATTGGTGAAGAAGAAGCTTTCAGGTAATTAATGTTAGAGAAATGACTAATTAGAGAACTAATTAGTGGCAGCTGCTAGCTAGCTTGATACAAGCTGAGGGTAATGAGAAGCTACTTATAATAGAGAAAATAAAAAGATGAAATTGGAGCTTAATTAGAAAGTGACAACAACCAAAAATCTTTTTTTTTTAACTATCTTTTAATTAATTACTTCAATTGATTCTTCATCTTTTATTATTTAATCATTTAATACGTCCATATACATTTGATATGGTCATAAAACGACGACTAAATTGCACATGCAGTTGTTCTAAACGAACTACCGATTGATATTTTTCTTAAGATCCTACAAGCACATGCATTTTTCGAATCTTTATAGCCTTCCCTTCAATATTCATATCCCTTTTTTCTATTATTTATTTTATTTATTTATTGGATTCATGTCAAAGTATAAATATTTTTTTCTGCTTCACTTAAAATATTGCTAATTAGGTAGGTAACAACGTGGAGAATTGGAAGGTAGTAGATCGAATAATCTTAATTTGTAATTATATGGTCATATCTAACTTCTATAAATTAATAAGCAAGCTACCAAATTACTATCCACTAATCATCATTATCTTTCACCTACGTAATAAAAAAATCAGATTTATTCCTTGACATTTCAAAAAATGTATACCTAATGTCACTTAATCAGGGATCAACATAGGTTTTGAAAATTTTGCTAGAAGCAGTTGTTGGCTATTGATTTTTAATTGTGAGGGCCGGATGTAGTGATACCGAACACAATATTTTTTAAGTAGTTACGTGGAATGTAAACTTTTTCGAGAAATTTAAACACACAAAATATTTCAACAAATATTAGATATGAACTTATATTTTGTTAAAAAAAAATACAAAAGTTTAGTGCTAAAAATATTGAAGGTCGAACTCATCAATGATAATTGTCACAATTTCTCTTAATTACACGTGTTACTAAAAATCTTAAAGGTCGAACTCAAAAGTGATAATCGTCATAATTTCTCATAATTATATGTGGTTAGTTTGCAAATCATCAAATTACTTGGTAATGATGGATACTTGCAAAACAAGAGGACTCTATAGTCATTATTCACTACTAAAAATTCGCTTAAAACTATTCGGAAAAACTGACTAAAATCGGTCGGTAATGGCCAATAACCATCCAAAACGCGATCATTTACGTGTGTTCGGTATTTTGAAGGTTGGAAGAGCATACCGACCAAAGTCGGTCGGAAATTACTGATCAACGTCGCTCGGTATGCTCTACACGACCATCTGACAATTTAATTGAATTACCAACCAATATTGGTCGGAATGTTATTTTAATAATTTAATTAATTTTACCGACCAACGTTGGTTGGTGTCCTAAATTTATTAATTTTATTTACCGACCAACTTTGGTCGGTAATAAAAAATAAATTAAACTATAATATTATATATATCGACCAATGTTGGTCGGTATTAGAAAATTTATATTTTTTATAAGTAATTAAAATTTAATAATACCGACCAATGTTGGTTGGTAATCTGGACAAGGCAGCCAACTTACCGACCAAAGTTGGTCGGTAATGTTGAATTTCTCGGAATTCAATGTGCATTAACCGACCAACATTGGTCGGTATTTTGCAATTTAATTTTTTTTATTAGTTACCGACCAAGGTCGTTCGGTTTTCTGGGATTAATTTTGACAGAACATTACTGTTTTGGTAGCTACACCACCTGCCAAATAAAAACAACATACCAATACNAAATAACTCCCAATTCACCACATACAACCCCTAATTCACCACAAATCCAACCAAACATCCAATTAATACTTTAAAACTAACAAAGTTCAATTAAACATCACAGTTCAAAACCAAGCAAAAATCAAGTAATTACAACAAGTTCAAAATTGTTCAATCTAATTCAAAACTAGTTTTATTAGTCTAGTTCAAAGATATCAAAGTATTGGTCAAGGGGTGTTTTCTACAACATCATCACCATCTGATGAACTTTCATCTACAAGACGGTATAAAGAACGGTCTTGTGGAGGACGGGAAGAACGATCACGGGGAGGACGAGAGGAATGATTACGTGGAGGACGGGAGGAACGATCGCGTGGAGGTCGAGCCTCTGGCGATGACTCACGAGACCAGGGCAACGGAAAAGCTCCAGTAGAAAGGAGAGTTCTGATCTAAGCTTGCATACCAAGGAATTGAGCATCTCTAAGCCTTTCTCTTTCCTTGGACGTTTCTAGCTCGGATGTAAGCCTTGTCACTGTCTTCTGCATAGCCGATAGGCTCTCCCTATTAAGTGTCTCGCCCTGTGAGGAAGTCCCTATTCCTTGCATTCAACACCTATAGCGATGGAATATTTTCTCAAGAAGCCCGTATTCCTTCCCCTTTTTTTGGACCGCCAACAACCTCCAACCATATTCTTTCAGCATCCTCGTCCGAAGGTTGGATTTGCTTGCCCAATTCACCAGCTGGCTGACTACGACTGAAGTTCTCCACGTTACTTTGGTAGCAACTCTACGTTATTTTAAATTAAATTAGTATAAAAAATTTATAAAAGTAAATTATAACAAGGAAAATTGAAAGCTTACATATGTAGTCTCTTCCAGGTCCTCGACCCACCTATCCGCATCCCCTTCTTTCTTCTTCTTTAAAATATGCGTCTCCTTGAATAGCTCATCATGGCTCATTGGACGCACATACTTCTTTTTCTGAAAATAAATTAATTTAGTTAATAAATAGAATTGATATACTTAGAAAAGTAAAGACGTAATAATTTAAGCAATTACCAATCTTCTTCTTATTGTCCCGATGTTGATAGCACCCCAGAGTGCAAGGAGCCTCCCTTCTCGGATGAGCGAGCTTTCTTTCCTTGTTCGCCCCTTTTTAAGAACTCCTCGGTGTGCCATTTTCTTAACAAATCATCCCATAAATGTTGCAGACACCAGTCATGCCTCTTGTTATTCTTTCTACCATACAAAAAATGATCTGCCAATCTCTTGCGGGTTTTATGATAAAAATTTACAGCATTTTCTCGTTATAGCAGTCTTTTCATACACACTTGCTCTGCATTTCAAAAGTTAAATATTAGATGAAAATATCATAAATATAAAATATTAAACTGCTTAAAATAACATTTATACCTTAAACTGATTGAAAATTTGCTCCTTCAGCGAGTATGAAAAATCAATCCAAGTCGCATAGGGGCCATCATAAAACCTTTTGATCGCATTGGTGATTATCTTCGTAGTCTGCTTACCCGGCCTGAACCTGCAATTTAACAATAAAAATATATGAAAATATTAGTAAAATATTATAAAATAATAAACACAAAAATAACAAATAACTCTTACCCGTTACCCTCAAGGACTATGATGATCCTGCCATAGCGATCATAATGCACTACATCTGGATCATCATCCTCAGCATCTGTATCCGAGGCATGTGTAGACAGTGTAGATGGGGGCTCAGAGCTACGGTCTCGCAGGCGAAGTCTTGAAATGGATGGAGTCGATGATGAAGATGTCTGTGATCCCTATGACTGCGACATAGCTGGATGTGATCCATGTGTCTGTGATACAGATGGTTGTGACCCATGTGACTGTGATATGGATGGTTGTGATCCATGTGGCTGTGATATGTAGGGTTGCGATCCGCGTAGTTGTGATGCAGATGGCTGTAATCCACGTGGCTGTGATGTAGATGGCTGCGATCCACGTGGCTGTGAGGTAGTTGGACTGTATGTCGGACGTATAGTCCTATGGCCCTGTGATGGAAGACCTGGTATCTGGATGAAGGTATAAGCCTCGTGATGTTGTGGCAGCTCAGTATAGCCGTGTGGTGGAGGATAAGACATAGGTATCTCTGAAGAGGGTGGAAATGAGGGGGTAGTATTATCCCCAGATTCTACACTCCTCTTTCCTTTCCTAGCCTTTTCTCGACCCCGAAAACTAGTAGGGTCATTGTTACCTTGACCCTTGCTTTCCATCTGCATAATATAATACATATTTAGATTGAAACATATAAGAAACTAGTTATAACAGGAGAGTGCTTGAAAAACCCAACTTTTTAATTCTCATCGACGTATTGTTCCTCGTCTGAGAATTCCTCGTCCTCACTTGTTTGAATTTTATCAGTTGATTCTTCATCCTCATTTTCTATAATTGTTACTTCATTTATATCAACTTCTTCCAATATGTGTTCAGGATGTTCCAAATTATTTTCTAACTGATCGTCCACTATTTGGTGAACACTGGAGATATTGTTTTGATATGCAACATCTAATACATTCTCGACTTCCACCCTACCTACATGCTTAGTTTTGATTACAACCCACCAATCGAACTTGTTCCGCCGCAATGGATAAGGAGCATAATACACTTGCCTAACGTTAAGTGCAATTATGAAAGGATCGTAGAGATCATACTCCCTCATATGATTAACCTCAATTATGTTGTATTGGTGGTGTACTCTTGTACCTCTTGTTGGATTTGGGTCAAAACACTTGCATCTAAAGAGTATTAATTTCTTATATGGCCAACCTGTATATTCTAGTTGTAATATTTCTTTGACCACACCATAATAATCAATATCTTCAACTTGGTTGCCATCACCGCCTTAAACCCACACCCCGATGTTGTTGCTATTTTTATTCTTAGAGCAATCCTCTGTATGAAATTTATAACCATACACTATGTACTTAGACATTGTTGTGACCTGAAGCCCAGGTCCCCAAGATATATCTTTCAAAAATTGATTTACACCATTATTTGGATTATTTACCTACATAGTGTTAAAAAAAACTCATAAGTTAGCATAACCGAATAAAATTTATAACCATACACTACATACTTAGACATTGTTGTGACCTGAAGCCCAGGTCCCCAAGATATATCTTTCAAAATAAACTTATAAACTGTTTGAACCACGTATCAAAACTCATATATACAACATCATGGACAACTTGACCCACGAAGTGAGTGTGACACATCAAAAAAATTTAGTAGTTGCATCAATATGTAATCACTGTAAATTTTACATTTTGATTAC